ATATATATATATTTCACTAATTTTGTGTCTCTAAAGAACCCAGTCTAAGACACGTGCTCTGCTGGTAACCTGAAAGGCTAATCCAAAGACTCGAGGTTTGAGTGCATTTAGAGGTGTTGTAGAAGAAAAGCCTGGTAATCTATTTCTTACAATTCAGTCCCTGAGAACCAGTTCTACTCTGACACACCTGAAGTCACCATGAGTTGGAATTGACTTGTCATCAACTGGATTATACTAGCATGGTTACAACAATCTTTCCTATCTATAATTTTCTAATTTTATTTCTGAAAAAATGAAATTATTTAGTCTTGCAATGTCATTTTTATTTCTTTAGAAGAAATATGGCATGCCTTTATAATATAAAGAATTTCCACTACAGCGGAACACTCACATTTATATTTCAAAATAAAACAGCGAACAATGGCTTTTAGATATTCATGGATGTTTTAAGTTGTAAAGAAATCTGTAGGGTTAAAAACAACCTACAAAACAACTTAAGCTTGATTTTATTTTCTCCCTTGTTTCTTTTTTTCCTTTAGCAAGATGTGCAAAATGTATGTATGTGGTGTTATGTGGAAGTTAGTTAGAAATGTTTGGAGAAATTGCCAAGTAGTTAAGTATCCTGAAAGGAAAATTTTTGGAAGGGAAATTTCAGTTCCAACCCTGGTTCACACTAGATATGAAATGTCAGCCAAGTCACTTAACCATTTTACTAATATCTGTAATATAAAGGGCTTGGTAGATAGTTACTAAGATTTTTTTTCCCCAGTTTTAAATGATAGTAGATTTTTTTTTTTTTTTTTTTCTGGAGAGTCTTACTTCAACACCCAATTTAAATGTATTATTAAAAATGATCCTGTCCTTTTAACGCTAAACTCAATCTGTGGGAAAAGTGTGAAATATTGTTCAATTTCAAAGCATTATTTTACATTTTGAGTAGATGTTTTGGTGAAAGCATTTTGCTACATTTAAGTTCTGTTAAATGAAATAAAAAGGAAGTAAGTAGTGTGGCTGACAAAATGGCATTGTTGGTAGAGTGGCCAATTCCCTTAGGCTTGTCTTAATCAAAATGTAAACTTGGGTTTCTTTAAATCAGGCTGCTCTTGTGAACCAATGAGACCCTGGCAGCTCTCCACTCCATATCCTCACTCCCTCTCTTGACCAATGAAATCTTAATAGTGCTTTGATAACAAATTATATAAGCCAATCAGAAATAAGCATCTTTGCTTCAGCAATGTGTCAATAAAAAGTCCACTTTTGATTTATTTGGTGCTACTTGATTCTCCTGCCCCCAACCCCCCTCAAAAAACCTTCATGTAATAGGCTAATTTCATTATTGACTCAATTTCTTTTGACAGTCCAGTACCAAGGGCTGGAGTCATGGTTTGGCATTGTAGGATAAGCACTGCACTGCTAACCATAAGTTAAGCAGTTCAAACCCATCAGCAGCTCCTTAAAAACCCTATACAGGATCACTATGAGTCCCAACCTGACTCCACAGCACTTAACAACTATAACAACAAACAAGGGGCTGGCTTCATGAGTTTGTTATCTATGCATAGGCCCTGTGTATGCTCTGCTGTTTCCATCTTGAAATTAATGATTTTTTTTTTTTTTTTAAATAAGAAACCTGAATGTTCATTTTTGTTCCAGGCAGGAAATTGGGTAGTCAGTCCTGGTTGTTGTTGTTGTCAGGTGCCATTGAGTTGGAACTGACTCATAGTGACCCCATGCACAGCAGAATGAAGCAATGTCTGATCCTGGGCCAACCCCACCACCGCTGCCACACTTGACGCCATCAATAATGCCACCTGGCTGATCCATCTCGTTGAGGATCTTCCTCTTTTTCTCTGACCCTCAATCTTACCAAGCATGACATCTTTCTCTAGCAACTGTACCCTCCTGACAATATGTCCAAAGTATGAGAGACGAAGCTTAGCCATCCTGGCCTCCAAGGAGCTGTACTTCTTCTAAAACAGATCTATTGGTTCTTTTGGCTACAGATTATAATTTAGTTTAATTTTAAGTCCCGGTACTCTCTCCTTCAAAAAAAAAAAAAAAAAATTCTACAGTTGAGAATCTACATGGACCTCTTTCTTTTGCCCCCATTCTCAAGTTTTATGCTGAATAAAACTAGGAAGGGCTGCTGGTTAGACTGCCAGACTGCAATGTCCTTTTGGCTCAGCCATCTGTAAGGACTTCTGTCATAGACAAATGTTTGTCTAGTAAACCGTAGAGGACTCACAAGAAGATATATAGCCCTCCTTTAAAAATTTACAGTCAGGGCTAGTGAAACCCGCAGTCTCATGCTCCTCCTTTTTTTGTGTCCTTCAGCATTCGATTGAGCAAGGTTTGCCAGCATTTTCTTCAAGTATGGGCTTGACCTCCTTGTTCCAGAAGTCTCTACAGGGCATTAAGAAGGGAGCTGCTCTGAATCTTTTCGATGCTTATGATGAGAATTCAACCTCGAAAAACATACTTCTTTCTGAATTCTCACTTGGTATGTGAGGTCATTGTGTTGTAGTTGTCATGTGCCGTGGAGTCGGTTCTGACTCATAACCACCCTGTACAAGGTTTCCGAGGCTGTAAATCTTTACGGGAGCAGAAAGCCTCATCTTTCTCCGACGGAACAGCTGGTGGTTTCAAACTGCTGACTTTGCAGTTCACAGCCCGATTCGTAACCACTACGCTACCAGAGCTCCTTGTGAGGTCATTGTATCCGGTGTCAATTCCAATATCACAGTATCACACCCATCATGGGTCTATCTCCTCTTCTGTGAGTGGGGATAATAATCACTTAACAACAACAACAAAGTGATGTAAAGACACAGGGGATAATCAGTGGTGGGACAAGATGTCCTGGTTGTACAGTAGCTAATGCGATCAGCTCCTAACTGGAATCTCCATGTGGCTCTGTAGGATAAGTACGGGGCCACAAGAACCTTTTGAACTAAAAGGTCGGTGGTTCAAACTCACCAGTAGCTCCTTGGAAACCTTATACAGGGACACTATGAATAGCAACTGAGTCCATTGACACTCACCAACAAACTAAGTGAAAATTTCGCTCTGTGGGTGAAACATGGCTGTCAGCTTCCATAGTAAAGATTATAGCCTACAGCTTTAGAAATCCTGCTTGGGGGTTCTTCTCTTTTCTTTAGGGTCAATATGAGTCATAATCCACTCGAGCACTATATATATATTGCTATATATATATATATGTACACACATATATGTGTATGTATGTGGAGCTCTGGTAGCGTAGTGGTTACAAATCGGGCTGCGAACCTTAAGGTCAGCAGTTCGAAACTACCAGCCGCTCCGCGGGAGAAAGGTGAGGCTTTCTACTCCCGTAAAGATTTACACCCTCGAAAACCCTGTACAGGGTCGCTATGGGTCGGAACCGACTCGACTCAATGGCACTTAACAACAACAACAGTGTATATATATATATAGATATATAGATATAAGATTTACAGCCATGGCACTTAACAACAACAACAGTGTATATATATATATAGATATATAGATATAAGATTTACAGCCTCGGAAACCCTGTACAGGGTCGCTATGAGTCAGAACCGACTCCAAGGCACATAACATCAACATATATATATATTTAAGTGACGGCATTTTCAACAATTATGAGTCTACAGTATTTGCAAGAGGTAATGTGGGCACATGATATGATTAAAAAACTAAGCAAGTTGTTTCTGGTGATAATGTGGAGGTACTTTCCCCAATTTTTATTGGGTGTAGTCGAGTGGTTTTTCTACTTATGGCTACCCCATGTGACAACGGCCTAGAGTTTTCTAGGCTGTCATGTTTAGGCTAGATAGGAACAGTTTTAACCAAAGCGTATTTAGGAAGATCTTTTAGGTGATTTATCTTTTCTCCTCAAATGTTCAAATAAACGAACATGAAGTCCAGCGCAGTGGTCCTCCCTGAACCAGTCTATCAGAGGGAGACACCAATAGAAAGTGCGCTCCAAGACGGCATGCTTCAGTGCCGGAGCTCTTCCCGCCTGCACTGCCTCAAGCTCTTCCCAGGCCCGTCCGCTTCTCCCTACAGCCCGCGCAGACCAGCTGCTACGACCCTGCCCCAGCCCCGGGCTCCCGCGTAGTAGCCTAGTCTGGCTGGGTAAGAGGCGGGGCGCAGCTTGGGGGTGGGGCCAGGCGGAGTGGATTTCCGAGGTGGGGTGGGCGGAGCCCTGGGGAGTCATGGAGGAGAGAGGTGAGGCCAGATCAAGATAAGAGGTGGGAACCAAAGGGGGCGGGCCTCGCGCCTAGGCAGGCGGAGCATTAGGAGTGGCCCGGGGAGACGAGATGGGGCCGAAGTGGGCGGGGCCATAGGGCGTAAGGCACGGACGGGGCGGGACTGGCATGGGGTAGGCGGAGCTCAAGGCCCTGCGGGGATAGGCGGGGCCGGGTCGAGGTGGGCGGGTTTCACGGCACTGAGGGCAGAACCTTGCCATTCTATCCGCTGATCCTCCCGCCTGCGCGCCTGCGGGGCCCGCCCAAGAGCTGAACTGCTTGCCAAAGCTGGGACGCGGCGCCTTGGGTGAGAAGGGCGAGAGGACTCGGTGATGGCTCTGCGAGGACTCCAGGGGTCCGCCGTCCTTCTTGCTGCTGCTGCTCTCTTCGTGGGAGGCGCCGCAAGCACGCCGCTGGTGGCCCCGGGTGAGTGCCTGTTGGAACTGGGACGGCGGGTGGACAATCCAGTCCTGGGTGAGCGGGCGGAAGGCGCGGGGTCGGACAGCAGCCCCCATGTGCCTGCGCGGCCCTGTGACCCTGCGCTGTACATCTGGCTGCCCAGTGGTGGCCCCTACGAGGCGCTCTCTCACCCTACCCCCGTGTTCGACTCCTGCCTTCCATTCCCCAGATGCCTCCTCGGAGGACCTTTGACCCTCACCCCCATGCCAGGCTGTCCGGAGTATAAGGACCGGGCCTGGTCTCAGCTCCGTCCGGTGCGCTTCCGCCCAGGCTGTGAGCCTTGGAGCCCCTTGTCCTCAAAGGCCCTGCTAGCGGAAGATCGGGACACCGGTAATGGGGTGCGCTGCCGCCTCCTGCCTCCCTCCCTCCCTCGCTCGCTCCACGCCTTTTTAATATCATAGAACCTTTCGGAGTTCCAGTTTCTTTTCATTCCAAGTTTTCATTTATTTTAATGGTTGGTGAAATCTTGTTGAACAGGTTGGGGATTTCAGATTTTTAGATAAATCAGTTTCGGAAAAAAGGAAGGTGCGTTTGTAAACTGACTTTTCATTTTATTATTTTTGTTGTTTGGGGATCCCTATAACCACAAAAGGAACCCTCTGTGGTCAGCACAGGAAGCCACCACGGGAGATGCTAAAACACCCCCAGTTTAGACGTTTTCAATTGAATTCTTGTAAGCGAAGTTGCAACGTTTTTGGAATCCCTGTTTCATTCTCTTGTTTTTATAACTAGGGACTCTAGGGATTCCATACCTCGGGCCCCCCTCTTAATTGCCTCACAATAGTAGTTGAAAAATTAAAGAAATAAACTTCTACCTTCTTGGCCAAATGGGGTTACCACAGCCTGGAATCTGACGTCAGCAAGTTCTTATAAGCTTGGCTTCAGGGCAGCTCCTCTTCAGGTCTAAATAATAAACAATTGGAAGCCTTCCAATGGTGACTATCTCCGCCATAAAAACACATGCACTGTTCTTCATTCCTGAGAAGATCCTACTGGCTTACAGCTGGTTGTTTGAAACTGGTTTATCCTCTGGCCTTCATTTTTTCATAGAAACCAGGACAGATTAGGAAGGGAACAAGATGCATAATATGTCCCTTGAGTCTTTATTAGCAGACCCATGTTTCCTTTAGCCAGCTACCCTGGGGAAATGGCAGGTAATGTCATGTTTCATTGGCTGGGAGATTTTGGTCTTCATCCTCCATTTCATTGTCCGGACAAGTCGGTGCATTTTTGTTGTTACCTACCATTGGGTAGGCCCCAATTTACGGTGACCCCAAGCACAATGGGATTGAACCATGTGATCCACAGGGTTTTTACTGGCTGGTTTTCAGATGCAGAATGTGAGGCCTGCCTTTCTAGTCTGTTTTAGTTTGTAAGTTCTGGTGAAACCTGTTCAGAATCATAGCAACATAATACACAAGCCTCCACTGACTAATGGGTGGTTGTTGTTGTTGTTGTTGTTGTTGTTAAGTACCGTGGAGTTGGTTCTGACCCATAGTGACCCTGCACAGGGTTTCCGAGGCTGTACATCTTTACGGGAGCAGAACGCTTCATCTTTCTCCCGTGGAACTGCTGGTAGTTTCGAACTGCCAACCTTGAGGTCAGTAGCGAAAAACCAAACCAAACTTGATGCCTTCAAGTTGATTCCAAGTCATGGCCACCCAGTGTATCACAGAGCAGAACTGCTTCAAAGGGTTTTCTTGACTGTAATTGTTATGGAAGCTGATTGCCAGGCCTTTCTTTCATGGCACATTGGGTAAGTTCAAGCTCTACCAACTTTCAGGTTCGGACTTGATCACAACTTGTGCCACTCACCTAGGTAGATGCATAAGAACCAGGAGCAAACTGGACCTCAAGGTTGCAAACAGTACTTACGTGGCCAGTGCTAAGTTGCCTCAGAACTTGGAGAACAGCTTAGTTTGGGAGTAAAATTGTTAAAGGTTCAGCACACAAGGATTTCAGGGGACATCTATACCAACACTAGGTTTGTGTTTGGAAGGCTCTTTGAGCAGGGCATACAGGTCTCATGCCTGGAATATAACTGAAGACAATTTTCATCTAATTGCACAGAACCTTTCCGATGAAGAATGAGGTCTCTACAAAAGGCAAGAGCACACAGAGTACAGATTTGCTGTGTCTTTGGGTCTGTATGACAGAAGGGTTTCCTGATCAGTCAACATCTGGGCCCCTTGGACTCTAAAGACTTTGTTAATGTTTGTAGATAAGTGACGTGGGTAGAACAAGATGAGAACTAAAGTTAAGTGCTTGCTATATGCCAGATTTTGGATTGGCCACTTTATTTCTCGTAACATTACAAAGTAGTTATTTCTAATGAAGGAACTGAAGTCCTGAGAGGCTAAGCTAAATCAATATATTTATTACTACACAACGTGTATTAATCTGTTTTCAATCAGAAACGGAACCACCAAGGTATGTGTTTATCTTTATTTGGGATTCAAATCCCTTCTCTTTCCATGGTACCTCACTGTTTCCCAGCGAGAAAATAGAACATATAAAGTCAACCTCAACAGTCTTGCTGAAATTCTTTTAGAATCTCTGAATGCTGAGATTCTAAGCTACAAGCATTTTTAAAATTTCTGTCAAGTTGGCCCTGACGCCTGGTAATCCCACATACACGAGAACAAAACGCTGCCTGCCCTGTATCAGTCTCATGATCTGTTGCAGATCAAACTGTTGTGATCCAAAAGGTTTTCAGTGGATGATTTTTGGTAGTAGGATGCCAGGCTTTTCTTCCTAGTCTGTCTTAATCTGGAAGCTCCACTGAACCTGATCCCATATCATAGAAACCCACAAACCTCCAATGACATGAGTGGCGGCTGCATGTGAGATGCATTGGTCAGGAATGGAACCTGGGTCTCCCACATAGAAAGAGAAATTCTACGTCTAAGCGTCATAAAAACTCCAAGCCTGTTGTTATCAGAAGCAGTGAAATAAAAGAACAGGTAGCTTCGCAGTAGAGAATAATGATGTCTTTGACTTTCTGCCTAGTAGAAAAATTTCATAAAACTTTGATTTCTTAGTAGTAGTATTCAAAACTATACCTTGGTGCATTTTTGAAAGATACCCTGGTGGCACAATGTTGAAAGCACATGGCTGCTAATTGAGAGATTGTCAATTTGACTCTAGCAGCCGGCCTGTGGGAGAAAGAGATGGCAGTCTGCTTCTGTAAAGATTGTAGCCTTGGACATCCCGAGGGGGCAGCTCTACTCTGTCCTACGTGGTTGGTAAGAGTCAGAAACAACTCTGGCAGTGGTCTTGGGTAGTTTTTGGACTTATTTGCAGTGAAACTTGTAAGGGCTGAAACTGGATGGGACTGAGTTGTTTTCCTGAGTCTCAGACGTTTCCCGCTTTTAACAGGTTGCAGCCTTGCATGCATCTGTTGTTTGTTTAAGTAGAAAATGTTTTCCTTCTCTGACAAGTTCCCACCTTACATAGGTTCTGGCTTTTGCAGTCTTTATCATATGAGTAGGCTTCAAAAAAGTGGAATTAAAGGGGAATGGAACTGTTCCAAGAGCTTTTTGAAGCCCCTGGTATATTCTTAAATTCTTTGGTTATGTAACCTTTGGGTTGGTAGCATAGTGGTTATGAGTCAGGCTGCTAACCTCAAGGTCAGCAGTTTGAAACTACCTGTTGTTCCGTAGGAGAAAGAAAAGGCTTTCTGCTCCCATAAAGAGTTATATATATAGCCTTGGAAACTCTTAATAATTGTAGGTCACTTACTTCCTTGGAGCCCTGGTGGCAGAGTGGTTAAAGTGAATGACTGTTAACTGAAAGGTTAGTGGTTCGAATCTAGCTGTTCTGAGGGAGAATGATGTGGCAGTTGGCTTTGGTAAAGATTGACTGTTCTATGCGATGTTGGATCCCAATATCTGTACAGCTGTCTTCTTCATCAGCTCTCAGTGATATTTCTCACCAAAAAACTTGCTTACCATATCAAACAATTCAAACTCTTTGTTTGTAATTTTTAAATTGAGAAAATAATTTTTATATGCTTAGGTCATATTTTGGAGTTCTGATGTGGTGCTATAGGATAAGCACTGGACTACTAACCATAAGGTTGGCAGTTCAAACCCACCAGCTGCTCCTTGGAAACCCTACACAGGGTCACTGTGAATTGGAACTGACTCTACAACAGTGTCTAATCTTATGTCACATTGATTTTCCTATGTTATAATTCAGCTCCTTAAGACCTTCTCAATAAGACATGAATAAACTGGAGAATAGTTAATATATATGTTCATAGCAAAGAATTTATATATTTGAGTTATGGTGCTGAAGAAGAATATTAAAAGTACTATGGGCTGCTAGAAGAACAGACAAATCTGTATTGGAAGAAATAGAACCAGAGTGCTCCTTGGAAACCAGAGTGGCAAGACTTCGTGTCTCATACTTCGGACATATTTTTAGGAGAGACCAGTCCCTGGAGAAGGATGTCATGTTTGGTAAAGTGGGGGTTCAGAGAAAAAGAAGAAGACCCCCAGTGAGAAAGCTTGGCTCTGGAGCAGCAGAAATGAGTTCAAGCTTAAGAATGACTCTGAGGAGGTGCAGGACCAGGCGGTGTTGCATTCTGTTGTGCATAGGGTCGCTCTGAGTAGGGACAGACTTAATGACATGTAACAACAACAACACAGGGTCTCTATGAGTTGGTACCTACTCGATGGCACCCAACAACAACAACATAAAAAATGACTGCCCTGTAAGGAGCAGTTCTGCTCTGACACACAGGGCTGCTGATTAGTTGGGAGTTGATTTGACAGCAGTGGGTTTTTGGTTTAACTTCCTTGGTTGGTAAAGATTTGGGGAGCTGCTGAAAGCAGGGAGACTGAGTCTGGTATGGTTTACAAGGGCTAAAACTGGAGTTTGGAGTTAGTATATTGTAGATGCTTTTCTGTTTTTTGGAGGAATAAATGCTATGCTTATTGTGTATTTTCTGACAGTCACTGGTTAAGTGCTTCTGTCATTTAATTTGCCCAGCCCCCCAGCACCTGTATATATATATCAGCTATGCATTATATTTTACTGTCGTGTTTATAGATGGGGAGAAGATCTGGTAGCGTAGCGGTTACAAGTCGGGCTGCTAATCTAATGGTTAACGGTTGGATGCTACCAGCCGTTCCGTGGGAGAAAGATGAGGCTTTCTGCTCCTGTAAAGATTTACAGCCTCAGAAACCCTCTACAGGGTCGCTATGAGTCGGAACCGACCCTACGGCACACAACTACCACCACCAGAAATTCAAAACTTGAATTTCTGGGAATTTAACCCTGAAAAAGCCACTCAAATATGCAAGACGAATTTTGATCTTGGGTCA